TGGAACAGAAACACCCCCTCGCCTTACGAGGCAGGCCACCCAAGATACAGGATCATACTCTTTTCTCCCCCCGGTACCCAAGCAAAATTTGGTTGGGGAACTACTATTCGCGGCGCGGGTATACTAAAACGCGAGCAAAATTGAGTGATAGATACGAGAAACGGATGAAGTTAAATTAACTACGTTATAGAGTGGAATTTAAGGGAGGCACAACTCGCACTGGGACACGGGATAACTCCACACGCCTGGAATGTGTCACTTTTTAAAATTATCTCACTATGCACTCGTTGATAACTTCCTACTTGCCATGTACGACTGAAGAAATTTCTTTTGCCCTCCTGCCTTCCTTCCTGCCTGCCACCCTTTTTTCCTTCCTTCCTTCCTTCCTTCCTTCCTTCCNAAATAAAAAATAGTGAAAGAAACGAAAGTCAGTTGTTTAAAAATTGTCGAGCCAAGTCGAGTCAATCTTACTGTACATTTTTAACATCTTCGTTAAACTCTGAATAATGAATTAATTTAAACGAAACAATCTATACATATAAGAATAGTTAAATAATATTAATCACGTACTGAGGCATGAGTTTCATTGTTTCGACGATCATTTCTGCAGCTCCCAAATATTCTTTCGCAACGTGCGGCTCCTCACAAGCTGCCCTGTACAGACACGTGTTTCCCATCAAATAACCCACTGCCAGAGTAACTTCACCTTCAGATATCACACTTTCTGTAAGAAATCAGATGTTATACTGATTAAATTAAATATATAGACAGGTCTGTTGATATTGCAATTTTTCCAACAAACCCTTTTCTAATTCGCGTCCCTTATGGTCGCTCTGTCCCAAATATCCAGCACCAAACACAATTGCTTTTAATACCAGGAGCAACAACAAGTTGGACAAATTCAAATTTAGTACCTAGATTAAAAATTGATATTTTATTAAATATCTTAATTTCTATTGAGATAACGATTTCTACTCATTGGCTTTTGTTTCTTTAATTGAATGAGTAGATATTCGAAGCATTTTCTGTAATTCTTCAAATCATATTTAACACTAGAAAGACTGAAACTTAGTATATACCTATATTGCCCAAAAGCAGTAAAAATGNCCACACAACCTGTTCAGATATTCGTGTTTCTCAACGATTTTCATAATCCTTCCATTGAAATCCTTCTCGTCGGGACCTCGCAGCTCTTTTAATTCACGTTGCAAGTTCGACAACTGTCCACAAATGTGTAGAATTAGCGTAGCGACGAACGTGTCGACGGCCGTGTAACAAATAGCCGCGTAAAACGCAGCGACGAGCTGAGCCAGCATAGTCAGCTCGTAATTTGGGCTGACGTCGACGTCGTAAGGGAAATAAGCGCGCAACAGCAGACTCTTTCCCTGATATTTCATTGAGAAGAACCGTAGGAATGTGTAAGTGAGCACTACGCTGCAGCAGAGTATCGTGCTCATCTTTACAATCTTCCTGTTGAACCTGGCGATGTTTATCATCGTCACCCATTCGGTCTCCTTGGTCATCGTGAGCCAATCGTTGCTTATGAACTTCAGCAGAGACTTCAATGCTTGGGAGGAAAAAAAACAGGATACCCTTTGATACCCTCAGTTTCCTATTTAACCCTTCGTCTGCGTACCGAGTCGTTTAATTAAAACATCATTTAATATTCTTAACCCTTTGCACTCGAGGCCTTTTGCGCTCGGGCGAACCAGCAACTCGAGACGATTTCGGCTATATGTGCNAATACCAAAAGCTGAATACATAATTCAATATTTAAAACAAATGTTTATGTAAAATAGATTTTTTTAACTCATACCATAAATATTTTATTTTTTACGAACGAAGTCTACCGATTAAAAGACTTTTAATTTGGATACCTGTTCCAAAAGCATTTCCCCGACGTAACAATAAATGAATAGATGCAGCATAGTATAAATC